ATCACAAAAAATTTTCAAGTAACCTAGCTTAAAATTGAGTCAGAATATTTGGCAACGTTGCGTAGCGCGCGAACTTCAATATTAATTTCTCAATAAATCCCACGGTAACCTATATATTTTATTGTAAAAAACAAAACCTAAATATTTCAAAAACCTTATTTTTAGTTTTTTTCTACTCCATCTAATCAATAAATAATAGTATAATTGGAGAATTGTTGTTGAGGTCTAACTTTCTCGTAAGACACTGTACAAATACTCACATTTTTAAACAAAATTTTCACAAAAATTTGCACGCCAAGGTATAGTTAAAAATTCACGATTAGATAAATAAGGACTTCAACTATTAGAAAAAAATTAATTTTAGTAATAATCTAATATTTTTTATTTAACATTGATGGCGAAAGGAACTCCTTAAAGCAACAATTGTCTAAGTTACTGGTCATTCACTGTGTGAGCAAGAGTAAGAATATTCACAGTTTCCGCATTTTTTAGAATTACCAGAAATGCTTTACAGTACACCACAGAGCTAGGTGTACTGTGAATAGTTCAGTTTTCTAAGGGTATCTCTGTGGTGGAACGTAGAAATAGTACTATGTTTCTTTTCTGCAATGTTATCTCTTCTGTGGTTAGACTAATGTCATCCTTATTAGTTACTAGTATGGAGGGTAGAGAAAAGGAGGACAATCTTATATGGATCTTTATATTAAAAAGTGGCCACCAAAATGTATATAATTAAGATGGCGCTCGTGTAGCCAGGGGACAAAATCCAATGCTATATAGTCATATAGATTGCTCATTCATAATTAAATCAGACAGGAAGCAGTAAATTGAGACCACCGTGCCATTTTAATATAAGAATTATTTATTGTTTATATTATTATTTTTCAATAAAATTTGACTATTGTCGTGTATTGTCAAAATTTATCTACGATCACAGAACACTTACAGCCGTATGCATAGTCGATCGCCAGCGACTCGCCAGCGATTCGCTGGCGATCCGCCGGCGAAAGCCCAAAAAGCTGGCGACTCGCCGGAGATTATCACCGGAATGTCATTTCACGCAAGTTTTTATGTTCTTTTATAGGGAAAAATTTGATATTCGTTCATTATTTTTTAAATTTTAAGAAATGAATCATGAATAAAATGCGAGAGATACCGGTGATAATCCCTATTCGCTCCGTGCGCGACAGCAGCGCCAATTTGTTTTGGTATTAAAGGAGTATTTCTGCCTATACTGACAAATACAATTTTTAATAGAATTCGTAAATAAAAAGTATATATGTTAGTTTTAATAAAAGTATATGGATTTATAAAACAATTAAAACATTAATTTATTATTATTATATATTTTTCACGCTTAAATTGAAGAAAATTATGTATAATCATTAAAAATCAATAATAAAATATAGGCAGGCAACAGTATTTACTGGAAAATGTATGAGAAGTTGCCTGAGTCTAATAATTTGTCATTGAAGAAACCATTTATAATAGCGTGAAGTTAAAATGTATAAAAAGGATCGCTACTTATATTTTCATTTTTGTTCTAAAGAAAACATAGAATGAATGATTAAAACTGGTTTCCGATCAGTAAGTCACAAAATTGCATACCAGCCAAATATTATAATCAACGGCAGAAATCTTGAAATCTAGTCCTTGCTGAATGAACATTTAAGAATAAAGGGATATTAAAGAACATCGTAAAATGATAATTTATTGTTTATTTAAAAACTTTCTAGTTTCTGATGTCTACTATTTCCAGCATTACTGTTATTATCACAAAAATAAAGGTAATTTTTCTTCTTATTGTACACCTATCCATTTATTTCTTTGATTTAATTTCCACTTTGTTAGTGAAATTTGTTATATAAGTTTCACTGTTTTTTTTTGCTAGTATTTGTACAATTTTCAACACAGCAACTCCGGTTGCTTATTGTGTTGTTTTTACCTACTTTTTTGAAAAAAAGTAAAATCGCTGGCGAAACGCCGGAATGAATCTCTGGCGAGTCGTTGGCGATCGACTATGCATACGGCTATTACTCTTCTACGATCAGTCACGTTTCAACGGTGTAGTTTTTAGTTTTTTATGGTTGAGCAATATTTATTACTATATACATCATTGGTGTCATTGTGTGATCTGAATTATCGACTGTCGACGTCCCCTGGGCACAGAAGCGCCATTTTAATTGTATACATTTTGAGGGACACTTTTTTTATACAGAGATTGTTCTCCTTTCCTCTACCCTCCATAGTTACTAGGAAAGGAATCATCTGCAAACATTAGACAATCTCAACTTCAGTCAGTGTTGCCAACCTTGAAGTAAGATTTTTCCCTCTTCTTACCTTAAAAATTCCCACTTTTATGAAAAAAGTCCCTCCCGTTAACAAAATATGGTTTTGTATTCTATTCTATATCATGCAGTTGCTAGCTAGCAAGTGGCTTAGACCAAGTTCAGTCGTTATGTTACCACTGAAAAAAACAGAATTCTCTAAAGTAAAACGTGGAACAACTAGTGGTTATAAAAGTGGATTTCGAGTTAGAAGCAATAAAATATTGTTGTTGGTTAAGCATAACAACTATTCGCTCCGTGCGAAGTCATGGAAAGGGAAGCAAAAGCGATACTAGCGCTAGCTGCGGATAATTCGTGCATTTTAGGAGGATATTTTGTAATTTTGGCATATCAAATACACGTATACATTTTACTTTTTTTCAAAAAAGTAGGTAAAAACAACACAATAAGCAACCGGAGTTGCTGTGTTGAAAATTGTACAAATACTAGCAAAAAAAAACAGTTAAACTTATATAACAAATTTCACTAACAAAGTGGAAATTAAATCAAAGAAATAAATGGATAGGTGTACAATAAGAAGAAAAATTACCTTTATTTTTGTGATAATAACAGTAATGCTGGAAATAGTAGACATCAGAAACTAGAAAGTTTTTAAATAAACAATAAATTATCATTTTACGATGTTCTTTAATATCCCTTTATTCTTAAATGTTCATTCAGCAAGGACTAGATTTCAAGATTTCTGCCGTTGATTATAATATTTGACTGGTATGCAATTTTGTGACTTACTGATCGGAAACCAGTTTTAATCATTCATTCTATGTTTTCTTTAGAACAAAAATGAAAATATAAGTAGCGATCCTTTTTATACATTTTAACTTCACGCTATTATAAATGGTTTCTTCAATGACAACTTATTAGACTTAGGCAACTTCTCATACATTTTCCAGTAAACACTGTTGCCTGCCTATATTTTATTATTGATTTTTAATGATTATACATAATTTTCTTCAATTTAAGCGTGAAAAGTATATAATAATAATAATAATAAATTAATGTTTTAATTGTTTTATAAATCCATATACTTTTATTAAAACTAACATATATACTTTTTATTTACGAATTCTATTAAAAATTGTATTTGTCAGTATAGGCAGAAATACTCCTTTAATACCAAAACAAATTGGCGCTGCTGTCGCGCACGGAGCGAATAGTTGCTGAGAAAGAAATATGGACCTTTGGATAATAAATATTTAAATATATCAAGAAAATAGAAGGTATGTTTATTGACATGATAATCAAAACTTATCATATTTTTCTAATGATTTGTTTTAAGAATAAAGTAAGACTTCTGCAAAGCCTACTATTTATTGATTGTAATCTGTATCTATAAAGTTTGTTCTCCTTACATTACTTAGGTCTTAATAGCCTTATTGTATATCCTCCAGATGTGGACTTAGGTGAGATGTCTGTAGGGATGACTCCCTCTCAGATCATCAAAAAGCCTGCAGATCTGCTTGAGATAAAATTGAATAATACATTTTTTCTACACCCGTATTATAATAATGCACTTATATGCCCATAATCCGTTTCATAATGATACCCATTATGATACAGATTTTTCATTATGATACAGATTTTTAATCAATAGAAACCTACAATTTTTCAATCAAGCATGATGTTTGACGTTTGTCCTAAATTCCTATGTAATTGTTTTAGTTGTCAAAACGTATTAAATTTTCGTAGATAGCTAAACTTCGATAATTATAATATTAAAATGTCTGATATCAGCGATATAGAAGACTCCTCCACACATATCGGAGAAAGGAGAAAATGCAGTACAAAATATTTTGCCCCAAAAATCTGTGGTAATACCAATACCCAAGGTAATACCATTAATTACAATTTTGTAGAATTTTTTATAGAAATACGAGTAATTACTGTTATTGTGTTCAATGCCAATATAAATAGAATATTTATAGGTCTTGATTATTTATCGGGTGTAGAAAAAATAGCGTATGCAACTCTCATGTAATGGTTATTAAAACACTCGCATAAACCATACGAAACTCGCCTTTGGCTCGTTTCGTATCCCGGTTAATGCTCGTGTATTAATAACCATCATTACATGATCGTTGCATAATATACTATTGCTGTATTAAGTTTTTTTTTTTAATCTCAATTTGGACTGAAGTAAAATATTCCCGTTTTGAGTTACTTTTTCCCTTTTGTGTTGAAAATTCCCGCCGGGAAATTTTCCTCCGGTTGGCAACACTGACTTCTGTCACTGATGAAATGTGCTTCATGTGGTCCCTTCACTTGTATCTATTAAGGCTGGTTGAGAAGATGTAGGTAGTAAAATAATAGAAAACAATAACGCCATCTGAACTTAGGAAGCAAAATCAAAGCTCGTTGTTGTACCTGTAGTTCTCTATAATAAGGCAAAATAATACCCAGAATGGGCAATTATTAGAGGAAATTGTATTGATATTTAAATAATTTTTATTTAAAAATAGTCTGTACATAAATGGGAAAGAAGCGATGAAAATTTCTATAGGAGAAAATTACTAAAGAAGATGATGAAAAATGCAAACAGTTTTACATAAAAAAGTATATTGTATGTGAATATTTTCAATTTGCGTTATATCGAGTTTTATTAAAATGTCTTTCTCAAATTATTCATCTTTGGGATAGAATATTGAAACACAAACGACACATAAAAATGTATATTTCGATATAAAATACAAAAAAGTATAAAAAGTCTTTATAACGGTGCGGGGCATCGACAATCGTGGCGTTCTAAAGCTCTTCTGAACGGATGCTTATTATACGGTGTTTCGGTATGAACCTTGATAATATCTTGTACAAGTTTTTTGTACTTTTCTTCTTCTTCTCTGCCTTTCTGTAGTTTTCTTTCCAGTTCTTGACGTTCTCGTTCCTGAAAGGCATTCCAACATATTTATAAGAACTCCAAAAAATGCGCTATCTGCGCCTAATATAAACCATGAATCTTATTAAGCCTACATTAGTAAATGCAAAAACGACAACTGTAGAAAGGGAACACTAGGATGGTTATAGAAACACCCATGGTTAATGGGTTCAACGTAATTAATAACAGTTAGAGTGTATTTTAATGTTTTTTTTAAACTACTCAATATATGTATATTTTGTTAAACTTTAAATATTTCACGTTTACTGCCCAAACGACTGACGTAATAGTCAGAAGAAAAATTAGGGCCCGGGATAACAAACACTTGTAAATGTTCGTGTTCTTAAGCACCCTGTATATCAGAATTTTCAAAATCCGTTCTGTAATTTTAAAAGAGTACAAGACATTGAATTAAACGGGTGACATTTTAATCTCGAATTTACATTTTTGATTAAAACCGGTTAATAACATTATAAATTATAAAAAGCTCATTTTTGTTAATTAATTTAAAAAGTAATTTACTATAATCTACTGATCGACTACTAAAACATGTCTGATATTACCTATTACTTGTGCATACCATCGGACTCGTTTAAAAATTTGAGTCTAGGTCCGGTTTAGTAGATAAAAAAACATTAATTTTCTAATTACACTTCTAATACCTCAAAAATTTAAAAAATACATATTTTGAACTAACCACTCATTCTAGCTAGTTGTTTTTTCCTAATAAAGAGCATGCTTTTCAGTGCACATTCCCCATTACTTCCCCAGATCTGGGGAAAAGTGATGAAGATTTATGTTTATGGCAACTTTACTTTGTATAATCACCGATAAGTACTCTCTATAGATACCTACCGAATAGCAATACTGTAGTACCGATAGTTCATAGCAAGTAAATAGAGCCTTCACGGAAGGTTCAAAGGTTGCACAATGAAATAAGTCTCGGCGGCAAGCGCGAGAAAGACGGACAGAGGCAGTGACGCAGCTTATTTTACTATGTGAACTTTAAAGCCTCCGTGACGGCTCGAACACTGCTCAAGAGTAACTATCAGTGCTACGGTGTTGCCATTTGGTCCCTAGATTTTGGGAAAATATGAAGAGTACTTAACGGTGATTTTTATAGAAAGCGTCGTTGCCAGATCTGTAAAAATAATGGATAATCAATTATTAGTCTAGTATATTTTGGAAAATTATTCTCTCTACTCGAGTTTTCTTGTAAGTTAAGGTCCAGTCTTTTCACTTCTAAGTAAAGTTGAAAGTAACTGCTTGCTCCTCGTAAAAACTGTCAAATCCTGTGTATGAAGTGGGAGAACTGGCAAACACCTTTTCAACTTCTGTCCCTAATACAACACCGTAAATGCTTGCAATTTGATTTTTGTAAACAAAATTAGTCTAGTAGTTGTTCGTCGTTGGGTGTTTCATGTTTGGAGTAAAGGAAATCCGATGCAATGAGAAATTGTAATTTATTTAAAGTTGGATGCGAGATATTGAATGATCGTTTAATTGAACCATGTGTCTTACCGCAGACTTACAGGAGAAACATATTTGTACTTCCTTTAAATCATTTGTCCAGTTTTACTTGAAGACGTAGATGTTAAAGAAATGCATTTCCATCACCCCATTTTAGAATTATTGTCAGTTTATTTTAAATGATAATTTTCTAAATATGTGGATAGAAAGAAATGAAATTTACAACTGACCGACGAGTAAACTTAAATTTTTAATCCTATGGATTATGTCACTGGTTTACCTTTTTCAAAATGTTTTACAGTCGGTTGCAAGAGCGTTTAGACTGTGAGTTATTTAAAGTTCATATCCTTCAGACAGTCACAATCTTAAACATTTTAAAACTTTATTGGGCTCATACTTTTTAATAAACGATCCTGTAATTGTCTATTAGTCTAGTTAATTATAGAGTGTTAAAGTTAAAGATTTCACTTTCATAAATGATTAATCTATCCTACCCTGTAAACGTTGTTGAAACTCTATATTTTTAAAATTATTTTGAGCACCTCTTTCCAAATTGGAAATGAAATATTGCGATAAGTTTTTAGAATACTCTATGTATATCTGAAAGTATTTTTACAAAATAGTTGAACAATACAGAAAAGAAACATGTGGATACAGTCAAAACCCTGACCACCGTAGCTACCCCTTATTGAAGGTGGAGCATTGTCAGAGTACAACAGACATAATTGTAGTTTTTGCAGTATAGTTTCAATGAATAGTTTATGTTCGCGGGCATTAGTTTTCTCACAGTACCTCTATGGTGGAGCTGAAGATAAGCGATATATTTTCAAATTCCGACCGTTACTTTCCTTTCTATATTGTTCACATATTCTGTGGTGTTTTGAAATCGTGCACTTAGCAACTGTAGAACTTTGACACCTAGTTAAATATACTAAAGTCAGTTGTTTAACAGTAAACCAACTAGATACCTGAAACCACCCCCTCTGTTAGTCAAATTTAAAATACTGCAGTTTGTAGCGTAAGTGCCATGCAACTTAAAATTCAGAAGTGTCTTTTATTACATGACATCGTTTTTAACTTTTATCTATCTATCTGAATTTTATGGTGAGATTTAAACCCTAATCAAACTCTAGGATTATTGTAATCCTTTTTAGTTTTTACCCCATCAGGTTAAAATTCTTGATATATTCAAGAATATTTCTGATGGACCCTTTCGCGATATCTTCAGGTTCCGGATATTATACCTCTCGTTCTCATTTAAGGTCATGGTAATGGCATAGTATGTTAACAGAAATTTCGTCGTCCTCTTCGCATATTCTAGATAGGAATTCATAAAATCTGTGGTCAAAAGGTAAATGGACACAAGTCAATTTTTGGTAAAATTAGCTCAGTTGTTTGTTCAAGCTTCATTCCCTTTTTAAACTTCAAACGATACTTTCAGTGTTAATTTATTTTCATTACTCACTGTACAATAGCCTAAAAAACTCTGCTTCCATCCTGCCTCAACTCCTGAAAAACTATACCCATCTAATCACAAAAAATTGATGTTTTTTTACTTTTCAACCACAGAAACATTCCTAAAATAGTTAGTTGTCTTTTAAGGCCGCAGTATCGCGCAAAGGGTTCTATTAAGGTCTTTAGGTTACTGCTACTAAGGTTTAGCAGTTGAGTTTGTTTGGATCCGTGGACCCTCTATGAATATTCTGGACTGCAGGAGTCCAGGCAGTTTTAATCAGAGCTCATAATGTTCTCTATTTACATTAGCACCCATTTAACATTTTGATATGAAAAAATATCACATATGGGTTCTAGTCCACTTATAGTTTTCTCAGCCCGCTTTTTGGCCAGGAGGTCTGCTTTCACGTTTCCCAACAGTCCCTCATTTCCCATTCAATAGTGATTTTGTTCTTTCCTTTAGGCCCTGGAGGGACTGTTGGCAATCAATTATTAATTTGGATGTACTTATACTTGTTTTAGTGCTTTAAGAGGACTGCCTGACTCTTTAACATAATAAATTACCCCTTTTAACCCTTTAGAGTCATTTTTATAACCCGGACTCAGGCATTTATTACTTCAGCTTTGAAGACTGTTCGTGAGTGACCCCTGGTTTAGGCTAACAGGCTTCCCTGAGTTCGAATGATAAATTCCAGCTATTGTGCTGTTTTTTATTTTAAAACCGACTGTATACTAGTCTGATTCGTTTTTTGTTTTCCCATTTTCCCGGATTTTGGCCCTTTCTGGTATTCATAATACAAAATTTTGTTTTAATTTCCTTAATATCATTGTATGGTGATCTTTTCTAAAGTTCCCTTCCAAATCCATTTTTGTGAACAGTCTATGCCACCGCCATAGCCTACTTCTCCACCACAAGGTGTATTGGGGGAAGACTTAGCTGTATTTCCATTGGTGCAGTGAGCGTACTTCTAAAAGAACCTGTCATTATTAGATAGATCAGTCTTTGTACATTATCTAATTTTCTGTTAGCTGTTATGCTTTTAGCCTTGTGCCACCTTATGACTGGTGAGTAGATTGTAACGGGTACTACAACCATAGTAAAAAGCCACCATACTTAGTTTAAGCCCCATTGTGTTCCATATTATTCGTCTATAGTCCCATAGTACTTTTACAGATTTTTTGTTGTCTTTTATATGACTGCAGAAGCTAAGCTTCGTTATCATCAAAGGTGATTGGAGGATATTTAACCTTCTTTACCATTTTTAGATGTTGTCCATACATACAGGGTGTATCAACGATGCGTGGGTGAACGATAGCTGCTTCCCTATATGAGATAGGAAAAAATGCTTCAAATAAAAGTTGTAGAGGGCATTGAAAGCTACGTTCCAAAAATAACTACCAATGTACAGGGTGTCCGATAAATGTATGAGTTATCGAAGTAATGTTTTTTTAAAGGAAACACCCTATATATTTTTACTCGATTAAATTTCTTTGGAAGAGTGTTTCTCAGAAATATAGGGTTGTATGGGTTTATACTGGGTGGTTAGGAATTTATGGTGGGATTTAGGTAACAAAATGGGTTTATTCAACAACAAATATCTCTAAATCAATAATTTGGAATAAATTTTTTTTCTGCCGAATATTCTCGAAAATAGTGTTTTTTCATTTCCTATTCATAATTTTACCGAATGGCGCTTTTCCCATACAGGGGCAACCAAAACTCGGGACCACTTTTTTCTCAGTTTTTTCAAATGGAACACCCTGTAAATGAGGCCATACCAGGATAGCCCATACCATGAGCTTTCAGAAAATGTAGGGTTTGCCTACTTGCTTTTTATCGGAAATGTATCTAATTCTTAAGGAAATTATAAAAAAGTTATAAAAGCAATAACTATTTATTTATTTCATTCGAAAAAGCATAAATTCACATCAAATGTTCGAATAATCTCCCATTTTGAGCTATGCACAAATTAAGTATATCTACATTTGCTCTTCTAACTTCAATTAAAGTTGATTTTGTAATAGAGTGAAAAACGTCTCTAATTCTATTCTTCATGTCTTCTGGTGTCGTTGGTTTTTCGCAGTAGACCTCTCCTTTAACATATCCCCAGAGATAGAAATCTAGAGGCGTGAGGTCTGGAGACCTTGCTGGCCACTGAATGGGTCCGTTTCTTCCTATCCATTTATTACTGCGCCATCTGTTTAAAAACCATCTTACCTGATTTTGATTGTGGGGAAGCGCGCCATCATGTTGGTAATATAACCTGAGTCTGGTGTCAATAGGTACATCCTCCAACAAAATTGGTAAATGATCTCGGAGGAAATCTCTGTAAATTTCCCCATTCAGTGGACCATCAAAGAAATGTGGTCCTATGACCTGATCCCCAATTATGCCCCCCCAAACATTTATCGACCATCTATTTTGGTAATCAATTTCTCTGACCCAATGTGGATTCTCTGTTGAGTAGTAGTGGCAATTGTGTCTATTTTCTATTCCATTACTTTTAAATGTTGACTCGTCACTAAGCAAAATGTATTTTAGAAAATTTGGTTCCTCGCGAATGAAATTCAATATATTTTCGCAATAGCGAACTCTGGTGTCATAATCCCTTTCATAAAGTTCTTGATGTAATTCAATTCGGTATGGATGAAGTTTATTTTTTATCAATATTCTGTTCACGGAAGTGTGACTTATATCCAGCTCTCTTGCAATTTCCCTCGTACTAACATGAGGATTCTCTACTGTTGAAAGGATCACCGCTAATTCATTTTATTCATTTGTTGAAATTTTGTTTACTACTTTCCTTTTCTCGTGCTTGACACTGCCTGTTTCGTCAAATCTTTCTTTAACCCTCCGAAGAGTCTCTGGTCGTATAGACCTTGAATCAGGGTATCGAACTGCATACATTCTACTGGCTAATAAACAATTTCTATCACACTCACCCAAAATGTAGATTATTATTATCATTTCTTCGGTGGATAATTTAATTTTGAAGCGAAAAATTATTAAATTTCAACTATAAATTATTCTCCTCCTCGATAATTAAATGTCAAATTCCTATAACGTTCAAATGTTTCAAGGGTGATTTGATTTTTCGCTGTATTACAAGATCAACTTTAATGAAAGTTTGAAGAGCAATTGTAGATATGATTAATTCGGGCATAGCTTAAAATGTGAGATTGTTTAAACATTTGCTGTGAATATACGCTTTTTTAAATAATTGTTCGTTTATAATAAATAAATAGTTATTGCTTTTATAACTTTTTTATACTTTCCTTAAGAATTAGATACATTTCCGATAAAAATCAAGTAGGCAAACCCTACATTTTCTGAAAGCTCATGGTATGGGCTATCCTGGTATGGCCTCATTTACAGGGTGTTCCATTTGAAAAAAACTGAGAAAAAAGTGGTCCCGAGTTTTGGTTGCCCCTGTATGGGAAAAGTGCCATTCGGTAAAATTATGAATAGGAAATGAAAATACACTATTTTCGAGAATATTCGGCAGAAAAAAAAATTTATTCCAAATTATTGATCTAGAGACATTTGATGTTGAATATACCCATTTTGTTACCTAAATCCCACTATAAATTCCTAACCACCCAGTATAAACCCATACAACCCTATATTTTTGAGAAACACTCTTCCAAAGAAATTTAATCGAGTAAAAATATATAGGGTGTTTCCTTTAAAAAAACATTACTTCGATAACTCATACATTTATCGGACACCCTGTATATTGGTAGTTATTTTTAGAACGTAGCTTTCAATGCCCTCTACAACTTTTATTTGAAGTATTTTTTCCTATCTCATATAGGGAAGCAGCTATCGTTCACCCACGCATCGTTGATACACCCTGTATAAAGCTCCTTAATTCCCTGCAGGTTCCTTTTTCTTGTGTATGCAACAAAAGAGGTCTTCGCCGGGTTTGTGGACAATCCCACTTTTAGGCACAATCTTTCGACTGCTGCTGCATCCTTTGTTGCTGCATCTAAATTTGTCGTTATTATTGGTAAATGCCTTATATTTAGGTAAAAATACGAAATTAGTCTTGTTTAATTATTTGGTGTGCAATGGTTTGCAATTTTTTTTTTTTTTTTTTTTTTTTTTCGGAAAATACTGTGGTTAATACTGAATCATTTTCATGAATTACAAAAATTTATTTCGTTTACCATTTAAGACTTTATTTGTTGACTATTTTCTAATTTTTTCAAATAATAAATTGTCACAGTTTTGTTTCAATGCTAGTATTTTGTTTTACTTTTTAATAAACCCTTTTAGTTGAATGTCGATATTTATTAAATTTTTTATATTAAATCGTGATTCAATGAGTGCACACATATAGTTTATTCTGTAATAGCCACAGTGAAGCAAGTTGCATTTTTTAATTGAAATAATTCGTATTTTTTACTACTATAATAGTCCTCACAAATTAAAGAACAAAAGATATACTTTACATATGACATACTTTCAGAAATTTAACTTCAACAGAAATGATATAACTGATTATTAAATTTGGTGGTTCAGTGTTGAACAGCTGACCTTACCTAATTCCATAACTACGATATTAGAAGTTTAGGACACCCTGTATATATTAAAAGTTTAATTTTGTTACCCTTAGTTTGTTATTATATTCTATCTGGTCCTTCAGATCATCACGATATTGCTGGATAGCTTCCATTTCTACACGATCACTTTCCTCTTGAAGTCTGATATTCAATTCATAGGCGATCTGTAATAACTCATTCTCAGCTTGTTGTGCTTTGAGCTGGTTTTCAGCTTCTTGTCGTTTATATTCAATCTGTTGAGCTCTACCTTCAATAACGCTCTAAAAATAAAACCACATATTAAATAAATCAAAAATTAAAAAATAGATATGTGAAACTGAGTAGCTGTTCGAAGAATGAGGAAATTGGGTACAGTCGAACCTGGATAAGTAGGAAATGGTGATTATAAAAATAATTTGCAAAAAGTAAAGAATATAAACTAATCAAATTAATATTTTTTGAGGAATTAATTTCCTGTAAGCTGGAAATCGTTTTATTACCTTTATTTGGTTCTATAGGCCTGTCTTAACAGTGCCAGGAGATGCGCATAACTTTTGGTAGCCAAATTTTTGCACTTTTTCAAATTTTTGCATGTAGCTGGAAAACAATACATCAGACGAAAGATGTCATTTCATTTAATATTAATTTAAAAGGACTAAATTTTGCGTCAAATGACATTTAAAACTTTTAATTCAGTTTTGTGGTGTAGTTAAAAAACGGGGAAAATTTTTAATTTCTGTGCAAACTTACAAAATGTTCAACAATTCTCTACAAATTTGTGAACTACGTTAAGACATACTACAATTATGCCAATACAACTAAAGTTTTTGATTGTTATCCTGATGTGACATCAACGGCTTCACAAATGTGGTGTTCACTTAAATGATGATTGCAACTATGCCGAAAGAACAATTGCTGATTTCCATGCTGCTTAAGAAATTGGTACAGCACGGGTTTAAAGTAAGGCTAAGTATTAAGGATGCTAATACCCTTATTGTCAACACTTTCATTCAATTGACATAATGACGATGGTTATAATAATCGGAAAGGATACCGCCTTATTGATCCTATTAACTATTAAAGCACCAAATTCATCAAACATTTATGTCATGAAACCTAGAAAGAAAACCTCTCAGAACATATTCTAATCTCCCAGGTACTTCAACTAATCGTCTGTTGTCAAACAGGAACTCATATTCCTACATACAATCAGTGGGTGTAATACAACCTCCGCATTCTATTGTAATAATTGGCATAATTATTATTTTAAAATATAAAGAATTTACCAAAAACTCCAAATAAGTATTTTAATGTTTTAAATTAAAAATTAAAAAGGAAGACACGTATAAAAATAAAATAAACAATCATGTTATTAATCTAGTCAATGGCTACATTGAGCGTGACATTTTTAAAAATACAACCATCACGTAAATTTTGGTTTATATAGAGAGAAGACAGAAAGAAAGAACTCTCAAGTGCATGCTCAATCGAGTTCGGACTTTCGCCGAGGGCGGAAGCTCTCGCTTTTTTTGGGACTCTTTAAGTGTAGAGTAAAGTTTTGTGTATTATTTGGGTAAATATTTTTTACCTAATTTTAAAGTGTTTTGTTTAATAATAATTGATTGATTTACATATAAATGGCAATTTTACATTTTCGTCCCAAATTATCATATTTATCTTATGCATATTTTTATATTATTATGTAGTTATAGTGCTTTATTCCCTAAATGGAATTTTGTTAATTTTTTCTTAAGACTATTAGTCAAATTTTATACTTATTTTTAATATACATTTGTTAATGTTTTAATACTTATTATTAATCTCTCCTCCGTATCCAAACCAGTAAAGAATTTGAGAAGCCTCGGCGTTTCTATTCCCTTAGGATTAAAAGAGTCTAAAACAGTTGCCAAGAACCGCTAAACTATGCCATTAAGGGATAATTTTTATTCTTTCAATTTAATTTTTTTATTTGCCACTGGTGAATGGATGTTCATTCTGGACTCCAGGAGCATTTGGCTGGTGACGGTGATGCCCTAATCCCTTAACAACAGTAGCTAAAGACCTATCAGTAGTTACAAATGGTCTTTAGGCTAGTTGGTTGTTACATTTAGTGACAAGTGGTGGGGTCTTTAAGCATCCCGGTTGTTACACTATCGCCAAGGAAAAATAACTTTTGTTTAGCTCTTTCAAAAGAACGCGACATAAAATGAGACTATCAAGGTTTTTCATCATACAGATGCTGATTCTAAAGTTCTCATTTCAGTAGGTCAACTGTTCTTGGTAACCCTCTATTCACCTAAGGCAGATTAGACCTACTTGGACAAAATCCACTACAAGGTATTTTAAAAATCCTTAACAAAGCCTACTTTTAATCTGCCTCTCTACCTTTAACAAATTCAGTCGCTGCCCAACATAGTCTGCGAGTGTACCTTCAAATCCAGGGCTGGTATAATAAACCATCATTAACATCAAGGATCCCGCTTCAGCTGAAATTATCAACACAGTGTCCTGCAAATGTACAAAGGAATGTACAAGAAAATGCAACTACCGAAAAATTGGCATAAAATGTTCAACAATATGCCTCAACTGCAACGGCCACTCATGTTCGAATTCAGTACCCTTCAAGGATGAAAGTGTGATCCACATTGTCGTAGAAGCAGAAATAGGTGAGGATAGTTCCATTTAAGAACAAATAAAATTATTAAAACGATTAAAACGGGCGGGCCCGCACAAATGTCTATCTTCCTCCCTAAAGTCCAAAAACATTGATTAAAGGTCTAATTAAAGAGAAATATTGTTTTTAATATATTTTGGGGGAATTTTTTTTCTTATGTTGGTAATTGTTGATTTTTGCTTCGATTGATCAATTTGTCGTTTTGCATTGAGCTTATGGCATTCAAAATGGCGGACGGCTTCCTGTGCTGCTGGCGGTTGCGGATTTTTGGCTTTTTTTCCGAAAAATATCTGGTAAATTGATTGTTTTACTTCTTGATGCAGTGTAGTGATGTGTCTGCTATATTTGTGTGTTAAATTTGTGTTTCTAAAGTTCCGCTTTTTGTGTTTTTCAGACCTTTTTGTGATTTTGGGGCCCTCGATCGTCGTCCTGGAGCTTCGTGTGGCTGTTCCGTAGGTATTTGCGTCTGTATTTCGTTGCCCAATAAAGTTTCGAGCGTTTTTTGTGGTTTTTTTCTCGCGCGTACGGGGGCCCTACCGCCCCGCTCCCCCCCCTCCCCCCCGTACGCGCCGCCCGACCCTTCGCCTAAAGGCTAACCCAAGAAAAAAATTTTTTAATTTCCCCCCTCCCGCAGAATTGGTTACCCCTCGCCCACAGTTCTTAGACTTTTTCTTAGACAGTTTTTGATGTCATATTTCAAATTTTTAATCGACCAATTATTCGATTTTTATAGAATGCAAACTATTTTATAGTTCGATCGAAAATGGCCATGGACTAATAATGGCGATTTCTTGTAGTTGTATAGAATGCGTATTATTTCATATGTCAAACATATGTCAAATTGAAATTGGATGTGAAATAATAATGGCCGTGGTCCGCCATTTTTTTTTCAATGCTCGTTTCTATTGTTCGATTACTATTTGAATCGACTATTATAAACTATTCGATTGTATTATTTTGAATAATTATACTTCTTCTTTTTGTTGGTTGAATGGTATGATTGTCAATGAAAATAGTTCCGTCTCTATATTATATATTTGCTTCTTTCTTTGATAGACGTGTTAGGTATATTATGGAAGTAAGTAAATTAATGGTTGTTTTTTGGGGCTATAATATTAATTTTTGGATATCTTTTAGCCATTTTTTCTTTAAATGTGTGTTTTGTTTGTTCTCTATTTATATATTTATTTTTTTTATTTCAGAAATTCGTTCGTAATCCGAAATTATACATGAGAAAGAATTTGAAGAAGTCATGTCCAGAACAGTCGTACGTCAGTCCTATAATATAATAATAATATATATATATATATATATATATATATATATATATATATATATATATATATATATATATATATATATATATATATACCTGTGGACTGATCGTGCCTACTGGCATTGTACTAAGAATTTAGTAAGTATATTAATAATTTTGGTTGGGGGAGTTATGATGTCATTTATTGTAGTATTTTGCTTTATAATTTTTTTTTGTTTGTTTCAGAAAATTCCATTCCAATGACAGCAAGGTAATAGTAGTCTTTTAAGAATTTGTTTTCAGAAAAAAAGCTGTATCTATTGTTTTCTTTGTAGGTACTAATTATTGCTCTTCGATCATCATCGAAAGAAGATCCATTTGGGATTAATTTTTTTATTTTTTTGTTTTTAAAATAATTTTTTTTAAAATAAATCCCACGAAATGTTAGAGGTAATTTCTTTATTTTTTATCGATCGAATAATTGTCGTTTGAGAATTTTCATCTTATTTCCTAAAATTTAACTTTTAGAAACTTTTTTATGTCTTTAATACTTTAAATATGTTCATTAATCACTAAAACGAGCTTTAAAAATTTCGATGTGTCCCAGGTTGGAAATTAATTTTTTTTTATGTTTCGAAGAATTCTCGTTTAAGAGTTTTCATTTTATTTTCTAAACTGTAACTCTTACAAACTTTATTTATGTCTTAAATACCTTAAATATGTTCATTAATCACGATTTTGCTGGAAATTAATTCCTCAAAACGGTATTTCGATTTATTTTTATTGGCCTACTATTGCAATGCATTGGAATGTTTAATTAAGTTTTTCATTCCGCACTTTAGGTTTTTAAAAAGTTTTATTTCACTTAAAATGAACAATTATCTATTACAATGTGTATACTTCAATAATGACAATGTTACTGTTCTAGGTTGGGGTATTTTTATCTTAAAGGAAACATTTGAAAACTATCAAAGTATTATTTAAATATCTTAATGATGTACTTAAAACTATATTTAATAGGAATTTTGATGACATAACACCTTTTACGTAATAACAATTAATACAAGTTTTTAGTTTTCTCCATTTATACTTTCAATAATTAAGGATTGAAAGTCAAATTGTTATTGAAATATTATTAATTATTATTAGCGCTCATACTTAATCAATGTAATGATTACAAATTGGTACAACATTGCCAAATATTATCAGTTAATAGTGATATTAGCTATTTGTATATTAAGAGCAAAAAGTGATACTTTGCGCTAGAGACAGGAAGTTAGCCGTGCGACGCGTAGCGGAGCGCGACAATCTGTCGAAATGTACACAATATTTTTTCTACGATAACATTATTT